TAATAATATCACTAAGCTGACAAACATCATCTATAATCAACTTTAGACTACAAACAGCTCAGAGCAATTTTGAGATGGCTAGCTGAGATGATCCAGTTTCAAAGACTACTTGAATAAGGACTTGAGATAAGCCCTGAGCTTTGGCACTATGCTCAAACTGAACAACGAAGGATATAGTTTCCTTTCCTAGAATTTGACAATTAACCCAAAATTTTTCTTTTCAGAATAAAGATACCGTCACCCATACCCAGCAGGAAGCAATTTTAAGAATACGACACCCACATTCCCAAAAAGGTGGTGTGGGGCAGGTGGTTTTTTTTGGTCTTTTAATGGGTTTTGGGTCTGGGATAATTTTCATGGTTTTGGAGGGTTGGTTACAAGTTGTTGTCAAAGGTTAGGGAAAGGGTCAACCATAGGAGATTAAGGTTCTTTTTAAAAAAGAAAGAAAGAAAGAAAGGAAAAGACAGTTACTAGTTTGAAATACTTTACATTGGATTGGATTTTTTTATATTTTATGCAAATTATATATATTGTGATTGATATTGTTAGAAAATGCCATACATATATTTCTAATATTGTTCAAGATATTGTACTTATACTGTTCATTCAACAATGTAATGCAATTTGCTGGTCCTTGAATGTTATTATTACCAACTATTAGGATATATAGAAATGAAAGTTAGTAGTTAGACATTACAATAGAACATGTAGTCATATTAGGTATGTTTTCAAGATTGAGCAGATATATTTTAGATAGACAGGTCATCTTCAAACCCTTCAGAGATGTACAGAATATGGCATTTAAGATGTTTTAATAACTTAGAACACTTTCCTTTTTTGTTATGACTATGAGACATGTCGGCTCCTGGCAGTACCAATCTACTTCAGAGAAAATATGGGCATTGAAGAAACTTCATATGGAGTTAAATTTCATTGTGGCAAAAGTTAGTCACTGAACAACAAATATCCTCGAATCAACTGCTGACAAACAGTACAGACAGGACATGAAACAAAGGACTACCAACTCTTGCCAAAACTAGTGTGGTTGTGGCTTTATCAAAAGGCATCTTCTGAGGCCAGGACAATATGACTCCATTCCTGAAGTGGCGTTTGCAATCTGGAAAAGGTACAGTGCCCTTTTTTTTCGAAGTCAGCTGAACAGGGCCGATGGCTACTGATGTGCAATGGAACAGCAGCTGAAACAGTTATTCTTGAAGAGTAACTAAGCTCACACCTCTCAATAGTAGACTGGCATTTAATAGAGGGATGTG